ATATATTATATATATATATATATAAATTTTTTCCCCTCTTGTTTGTGGCCTGAGAGACACTTTTTGTCATGCTGATGTATCAGCATGAAAGGGTTGTCAGGTCTAGAACCTAAGTTAAATTGGAGACATTCCCCCTCCCCCCCAAAAACTTCGTTGAGAACCAAATTGTTGGAGATGGGAGATGTTCGAGAACTGAGATTTGACTATATTTTTCTCTATCCTTTTACTTTCAACCTACCTATTGAAGTGAGTTTCTTATAGATATATCTACTTTGGCAGTCTCTGCCCTTCGATTCATTATTTTAGATTATTTATATTTAAAATAACTATTGATTTGTTAGGACTTAAGTCTCTGATTTTATTATTTGTTTTCTGTTCATTTTCTCTATTTCTCATTCCTCTGTCTTTTCTTAGCTTCCTGTGGGCTGCTAGAACATATTTTACAATTCTATCTTGTTTTATTTACTTTTTTTTTTTAAGTATAGCTTGTATCATTTCCTTAGTGGTTATTTTGGACATTAAAATATTTATTAGCAGTAATTGCTGCTATACTTTGAACATTTACAGTATGCTGAGCATTGTAAAAGAGCTTTATAAGCTTTGTGTCTATTTAATCTTTACAAAAAAACCATGAAGAAGGTTCTGTTTTTTAATCCTCATCCAAGGATATGTTTATTGATTTTAGAGAGAGGGAGGGAGGGAGGAAGAGAGAGAGAGAGAAGGAGGGAGAGAGAAACAGAGGCATCAATGTAAGAGAGAAATCAATCAGTTGCCTCCCATATGCACCCAAACCGAGGATCGAACTCGCAACCTAGGTAGGTACCCTGACCGGGAATCAAACCTGCAGCCTTTTGGTGCATGGGACCATGTTCCAACCAACCGAGCCACCTGGCCAGGGCAGAAGGTGGTGTTTTAACCCTCATTTTATGCCTGAGGAAACTGATGCTCAGATAATTTAATTTCCCAGTCACACAGTTATTAAATTGGTGGGCAAACCGAGGTCTGACTTCAAAGTTCATGCCTTTAACTGTAATACTATATTACATTAATGTTAATCTTGTGATATAGGTTTTACATTCAAAATTGTAATATAATGTATTTTATCTTATTTTTTAGGTTTTGACGATGATGGTTCAGAATTTCATGAACATATATTTCTGGATAAATACCTGGAAGAGTTTCCAAAACGAGGACCAATTCGCCACTTCATGGAGCTGGTGACCTGCGGCCTTTCCAAAAACCCATATCTGAGTGTTAAACAGAAAGTGGAACACATTGAGTGGTTTAAAAATTATTTTAATGAAAAAAAGGACATTCTAAAAGAAAGCGGCATACAGTTCAATTGAAGACCATAGAAATTTGTATTTTGAGCTATTGGAGATTGATATTTTAACTAAATAAAATAATTTTACTGGAGGGTTACCGATACTATATTAATTATTGCATTTGATTTGAATGGTATAAATGTCAAATTGTTTAGAAATATACAATGGTAACTGAAAAATACTCTTGCATGAAAACAATTGTCAGCATTCATAGATTCAACTAGTAATTCTTTTAAAAAAGAGTATCTTAGAATTAGTAATAAGTTTGAAACAACTTTCTGTAACATTTTCTTTCCATTCAGTGATCATACTTCTTTGAAATACAATTATTAGCCATACATATGGTGACATTGGAGGGCTATAACAGTTGAGATGATTTATAGACAGTTTTATGTGCATAGTATATATGTACATATGTATTTTTTTCTATATTTGCATATATACATATTATATTCTTATATATTTCACACGAATTAAGGATCCTTGCCTAAGTCTGTGTTGCTGTAGAGAAGTGACCTTGTTGAAATAAAGGTCTTATTCTAATTTCTTGTACTTTAGGTCTTATGCCAAAGTTAGAACTAAATTATTTAGTTTCTATTTTGGTGTTTGGTATTGTGATTCAATTAAAAAAAAAAAAACACCTCAAAACAACAGTTTAGTTTATAGTGACCCCAGGCTGGTAGTGTTTCAGGCCCCTGGCACAAGCAAATGGAAACCCTACCAGAAACCCGGGCTTCAAATTACAAAACACACAATGAAACAAAACACCATGAATGCGCATCAGCAGAAACAACAGACAACAGAATGAGAATTGTAAAGCCTCTAAATGTTGGGCTTATCATATTTAGAATATAAAATGTGTAACTTAGAATAAAATACAGAGCAGGAGACTGTCCAAACAGATTTTTTAAAAATTAAAATTAGTGAAAGAGTTTAACAGCAGATCAGACACAGGAAAATAGACCTAAAGAAATTATACATATGCCGCTGATAGAAGCGAAAAGAAATATGACAGGGGTAATAATTAGTGTAAGAAAGTAATCAGATTTCCAGAAGGAGAGAAAAGAAGAAGTGGGTCAGAGGCTATCTTAGGATAGTTAGTGGGTGAAAAGTTTTTACAATTTGTGAAACACATCAATTCAGAGTTAAACAATGATCTCTTGGTCATTTATAGAGACTGTGCCCAACAACAGCAGAATATATTCTTTTTAGATACACTGGAACAGTTAAAATTTTATATTTTAATTTGAGTATTTAGTTCATTTATACTTATCATAATTACTAATATATTTGGATTTACTTTCAACACCTTTTTGTGTACCTTTCTATTCTTTCTTGCCTTCATTTTGGTTATTTTTTCCTCATGCCATTCTATGGAAGAGGGAGACAGAATACAAAATATCTTTAAAAAATAAGGGCTAAATACATTTGTCATATAAAAGCAGTTGCTACCAATAGATCATTAAGGAACAAAGATAGAGGTACTTCAGGCAAAAGAGAAATTATCCCATATTTAAGGTTTGAAATGCAAGAAGAAATAGTGAGCAAAGAAAGTAGAATATGCCCGGCCGGGCGTGGCTCAGTGGTTGAGCATCAACCTAGGATCCAGGAGATCGGGGTTCGATTCTTGGTCAGGGCACATGCCCGTCTTGCAGGCTAAGCAGCCGATCAATGACTCTCTCATCATTGATGTT